GGTATATTTAAATTTTGTGAGAAATATAACACTTCAAACAACTTTCATTGTTTAAATTCTACAGAGGTTTGCATAAAACCAAAAGATGAAATCTATGCTCCAGTGAAAACAGCCCTTTGAATTATTTTCTAAATTTCATGAAACCTATTTTTCACCAGCATTTCTAAATAAAAAAACAATTATCCTACACATTACGAGTTTCCATTTACATGATGTCCAAGAACAGGCAAAACTAACCCATAATGGTTACTTCTGATAGGAGGAGGACTCAGGCTGTGAACAGGCACGAAGGAACCTGCTGGAAATGTTCTAACTAGGTCTTGTTTTATAGCTTGATATACATGATATGTAATCAAGAATCATTGGGCTACATCATTAAGGTTAGTATACTTCAAGCACTACCATGTTTGTTGAGGCATTTTAAACTGCAATTTAAAAAGAAATATTAAATGATTTTCACATTTTCACATTTACCAAATACATAAACCCATTTTACCAAATGTATAAACCCAAACCTTTTTTTTTTTTTTTTTTTTTTTGAGACGGAGTTTCGCTCTTGTTATCCAGGCTGGAGTGCAGTGGCGCGATCTCGGCTCACTGCAACCTCCGCCTCCTGGGTTCAGGCAATTCTCCTGCCTCCGCCTCCTGAGTAGCTGGGATTACAGGCACGCACCACCATGCCCAGCTAATTTTTTGTATTTTTAGTAGAGACGGGGTTTCACCATGGTGACCAGGATGGTCTCGATCTCTTGACCTCGTGATCCACCCGCCTCGGCCTCCCAAAGTGCTGGGATTACAGGCTTGAGCCACCGTGCCCGGCAAACCCAAACCTTTTTTACATTAAGATAAATGTTAAGATAATGTAAAAAAGGTTTGGGTTTATACATTTACTAAGGGTCAGCAAACTGTGGTTCTCAGGCCACTTGCCTGTTTTCTACATTGTTTTACTGGATCACAGCTACTGGCTGCTTTCGTGCCGTAGCTGCATGGGTATTTGTAGACAGCAAGAAATACAACGCCCAAGATATTTACTATCCGAGCCTTTAAGAAAAATTCTGCCAACTCGACTTAAACTTCACATAATAAATTGTCCTTTTTTTTAGGAGAATTCAAATCAACCTCATCCAGATATCAAAGTAACAACAGGAAGATTTTTTTAGACAGCTTAGTAAATTACTCAGTGAATTGCAACCAAGAATTTCACAAAACTCTAACACAGGGTGGCCTCATTCTTCTGTTTTCAGTTACACTATGAGTTTAAGACATAGATCATAAACTGGCATTCTGTTTAGCCTTACACGATGTCAAATTTTTTTTTATTTTATTCCAATCTTTTAAAAATAGGAGAATATTTTTTTTTCTTTCAAAAACCAAGATTTAACTCCTCATTAAAAAAATAAATGGAAGACCCAGCAACACTGGAACCATATACAAGTTAACAATGAGCTCAGCTGACTTCGTCAACAGAGACGCCAAGCATCACTGATGCTCAGTATCACTTCTGCATCATTCATTTCTCTTACGGTACAGTTCAGAGGAAAATGAAATGCTGCTGCTAGTTGCACCTATATAAAGAGTAGGAAATGGAAGACGGAAGGCCAGAGGTTTCGTTAACACTCAGCTCACTTGTTATCTTAGTGACTCTTGGGCACGAGTTGAAACATGAGATTTAAGCAATGGCCTCTAGAGAAAATGGCAAAAAATGAGAGAAATCTGGCCAGAAAGACCAAAAAGGGCAATGGTTTATGCCTGCAGACATGAAGAGGTGGGTATCTTCCTCTATCTCCCACCTTGGGACAATTCTGCCTATTAAAAAGCTTAATATTTTTTGCACCTTCTTGTGAGTCTGTAATTATTTCAAAATAAAAGGTTTTCTGAAAAAGCTTTGTCTTACACTGACTAAAAAACTGTCCAATTGTATAAAACAAGTTTAATCCTCTTCCATCAGAAAGTTCTGCCATTATCTATAGCAGGAATTCCCCAACCCCTGGGCCGCAGACCAGTCCTGGTCCGTGGCCTGTTAGGACACGGCCACACAGCAGGAGGTGAGTGGACTACCACCTGAGCGCCATCTGTCTCCTGTCATATCCATGGAGGCATTAGATCCTCACAGGGGTGCAAACCCGACTGTGAACAGCACATGTGAGGGATCTAGGTTGCGTGCTCCTTATGAGAATCTAAAGCCTGATGATCTGGGGTGGAACAGTTTCATCCTGAAACCATCCCCAACCTCCCCAATCCGTGGAAAAATTGTCTTCCACAAAACCAGTCCCTGGTGCCAAAAATGTCGAGGACCACTGATCTACAACTTTTGCCCAGATTCTCACCAAGAGTCTCCTTTTTCGAGGACTAGAAAAAGAACCATTATTATCACCTCTCTTGCTCTTATCACATATTCATTCAATTAGCAAATATTTATTGAGCATCCACCATTAGTCAGATACTGTTCGAGATTCTAGAGTACAACACTGAACTATGCTTTTGTCCTGTAGAACCTACACTAGGTTATTAGGTCTCATAAAGTAGCAAAAGCCATCAAAGCCTTCTGGCCTTATGGCCATATCATACCACCAATTTTATTGCACTAAATTTAGTCCACTAAATTTCCTTTTTTTTTTTTTTTTTTTTTTAATTTTTGACACGGTCTTGCCACCCAGGCTGAAGTGCAGTGGCGCAATCCCAACTCACTGCAACCTTAACTCCCAGGCTGAAGAGATCCTCCAGCCTCAGCCTCTCAAGTAGCTGGGACTACAGGTACACGCAACCATGGCTAGTTTTTATTTTTTGTAGAAATGGGGTCTTGCTATGTTGCCCAGGATGGTCATAAACTGGCTTCAGGCAATCCTCTCGTCTCAGCCTCTTGAAGTGCTGGAATTACAGGTGTGAGCCACCATGCCCAGCCCCTAATTTTTTTCTGTATCCACTGCCTAATTATAAGCTTAAGCAAATGGGTTATGGATCCAATGTTCTTATGGTAATCCTTCCTTCCTACATAAGGCATGTTTAGACTCTGTCCTTCTCTCTAGTCTGTCAAGAACTTCTACAACAGCAGTTTCTTTTGCACCTTAGCATACACTCCATCCCTTCTAGTTTCTTATTGTCTGCAAACCTGATAAATTCATCCTTCTGTATAGTCATCCAAGTCAATCATTAAAAGTTGAATGGATAGCACTGAGGTCCCTAAGACCCCAGACATACATCTCTTGCGTGACTCTAAGAGACATGAGTCCATTGTTTAATGTTCCATGAGTTCTCCCTCTCTCAATGAGCTATGAGTTCAACCCAAGTTGCCCTATCCACAAGAATATCATTGGGTTTACATCAAACCTTCCTAAATTTCAGATTCAGTATGCTCATCCATTTTTCTCTCATCACGTTGTGGGGAAAAGAATTTTTTTTTAATGGGAAGAGAACAGTTAAAAAGGAAGAATAATGGAGTAAGGACAGGTCATTACATAGCTTCCAAAATAAACCAGAATTTTTGAACAAATGCTAGGTATACATAAGAAAAAAAAAAAAATCGCCGGGCGCGGTGGCTCACACCTGCAATCCCAACATTTTGGGTGGCCAAGGCGGGTGGATCACGAGGTCAAGAGATCGAGACCATCCTGGTTAACACGGTGAAACCCCATCTCTACTAAAAATACAAAAAATTAGCTGGGCATGGTGGTGCGTGCCTGTAATCCCAGCTACTCAGGAGGCGGAGGCAGGAGAATTGCCTGAACCCAGGAGGCGGAGGTTGCGGTGAGCCAAGATCGCGCCATTGCACTCCAGCCTGGGTAACAAGAGTGAAACTGTCTCAAAAAAAAAAAAATCACTCTCTGGGGAGGTGAAAATCACATCACTGTTTATCCGAAATGTTATTTTTCAGACAATTGACTTAATCATATGAACTTTTATACACAATAGCTTTGGCCACAGTATAGATGAAAACAATTAGCAAATTTAATCCTTGGAATCTATTTTCTATTGTTAAAACCAAGTAACTTTTTTTTCCAACTAAAAGCTTCTGCCTTTAACACATTCACTAGTGGTTATTAAAAAATGGAAATATGTTTGAATTTCTGGAATTATAATTGAACTCTGTATACAGTTCACATGAGGGAGTCCAATTGAAATTGTATTTTAAAATGCTCATATATGTGACTAAGGCATAAAGCATGACACAAATTAACATTCAGCACTTGGAAGTGAAATAAAAACAAAAAAATAATTCATGAATATGGTAATGACTGTTCTCTGGCACAAAATCTGAAAGTGCTTTTATGCATTTTAAGTAAACTTCAAATTTTAAGTAAACTTCCACAGTATCATCTTCAAGTTCTAGAACTATCATCCAGCAAGTCATTTTACAGACACAATCTGGGATTTAGGACAACCTGGCAAATGCTGTATGATAGTTGATTTTCTTATTGAGAATAGGGAGAAAAGCTTAGTCCAACCACAGTAACAAGTTTATCTGAGTCATGTGTTAACCTGGAGAAACCAAGTCATCAACACTTCAGACCTGTTCACATGACTAGAGAAGTACTGTTTTATGCTACTTAAAATGATTATACACATTAAAGCCAAGTCTTTACTCTCCATACCTTTTAACCCGGTAGAAGTTAGACTACCTTCGAAGTAACAAAGCAGGGCTTATTGTAAAATACTCTAAGTTTGTTATTCTTCACTGAACTTCCAAATTTCTCTGATCAGCTCAACTTTTACTTGCTAACAGATGTGTCTTTTAAGGAAAAAAAAAAAAAGCAGCAAAAGGCAATCATTTCATATCAGTGCTAAGGTAATACGAAAGCACAACACTCACACTGTCTTCAATCAAATATGAAAGTTGAAAGGGAAGGTGACTTCAATGCCAGTGCTTATAAAGACGGGACTTCCATCCTATCACACTATGTTCTATTTGCTTTAATTCTGCGCCTGCTTTCCAGACTTACAGAGTTTCGAGAATTAGAGAATATTCACTTCCAGGGCAATTCCTGGCCCTCCCAACTGCTTACCTGAATATATTTCCGCTGAGTTTCATCATTTAACACATGTGCAACATGCTTGGAAAAAATCTTCTCTCTTCCGGTTCTGGCATGGATGCCAACCATGGTGACGCCGATAGGCCAAGGCGCATTTCCGATGGCCATCTGAAGATATGCGTCATTCGCCTAAAAGGGAGCGTGTACGAAGAAATCAGAAAGGCAGAAAGTTGTATTGACCCAAATTCTTATGTCAAGTATTTCACAGTCCTTTATGATGTAATTTTCATCCACCTCCTGGGTACATTGAAAATTACTGTTACGCAAACAAAAGAGATTAAAATATAGGGTAACAGACTGCCCTGCCCAGGAGCACAAATGTCCATGGAAAAACAGAAGCCAAAGCTAGGTTGTGAGTCAGAAAAAGGTAAATGTTCCTTTGCAGCCTTTGTGTGCTGGAAATGAATAACATTTCAGATCTGGAATTAGCAAGTAGGCACTTGAACGCACTGATAAAAAATTCTAGTTTCGGTCTCCTATAGGCCCAGTCTTCTCCACAGGGAGTCATGTAGGAGACAGGGGCTGACATTCCCTACACAGCACTGTGGTTCTCTGAAGGCAGTGGGGGCTCAGTATGCGGGGACAGCCACACAGGGTCCCTAACAGATGTGTAAACAGAGAGGAAACACTGGCCCTCTAGTCAAATAGCTGAAGGATGAGATCGCTCCACTTTGCCCCCCATCCAACCTCCCACCTGCCAAGAACCTTTAAAGAGCCACAAAAAGTGAAGACAGAAACCAAGGAAGACAAATGGCTCTTTTTCCTAACCAAACCTGGCTGGCTATACGGGAAAAAAATAAAAATAAAAATAAAAAAATAACAGAAAGTAAATAAATTCTAAAAGACCCCAAGGGCTAAGAGAAGCTTATAAAGCCAGGCCTCAAACAGATTTTAATTTAAAAAATCAGATACCTATGAGATTGATAGGTAAATTTTTTTAAAATCAGATACTACAAATAGGGTAGGTAAAAGATCATTTTCTACTCCAAAGATAAATTTGAACTTGTTCTGCTCAACGGATTTTAGAAAGCTTAATTTTCTAAGGGCATATGTACATTTTTATCACTAATTTTCATGCATATAAATTTTAACATTAGATCTTAACTGATAAAAATTCCAATATTTAGTTTCCCCCAAATTTCAAAGAAACGGTCTAAATAGGTTATTAGTTTCTTGGTTCTTTCTGTAGTTTATATAAAATAAGCTTACACTTGCACTTAGTTCTGATATGTGACCACAAGAAAAAGCAGTAAGAGGAAAGGCATCCATTCTGGCAGGCAGGTGATGGGAATTTTCTTCCTGCAGTGATGGTGACCTTATCTATCCATGCCAATGCAATCATCCTTAGTAAGAATCACTGCAACTGATAGAATCTAAGAAGCAAAATTATAATTGTAAGGCAAAAATATTTTCTTTGAGAAAACTGGCTGGCTCTTAAAGGCAGTAAAAATCACTGCAGGAACCTCATTAGCCTAAGGCTCGAATCAAGTAAATCATCCAGTCGGTCACTCAGGAATGCCAGCAGTCCCTTGTTCCCGTGAGTGTACAGATACAGCACTGAAGCAATGCTATTCCCAGTTCCCTACTGCTCTGGCACTGGCACTGCGCTTGCTGCACTGAAATGCTCTACTCCTAGTGTCTTGGGAGGCACAGCCACAAGATGCCTCCCTCAAACTCTGTCCTTTCTTCATCTCCGCTCTAGGTGCAATGGGCCCTTCTCTTCTTGTTCCCCTGTACCAACTGACAGTCCTTCACTCATCCCTTCCTAAACTCTACTGCGGGGAGCCCTGACACCAGCGCCCTTTCCCTCACCACCGCCTCCCAGAGCCCATTCAGGAGTAAAGACATCGGGGCAAGGGAGGAAAGGCTTCCCCTGCACAAGGTCCGCTACTGCCACAGCTGAAATGGTAGAAATGAGTCCTGGAAGCCTTACTTGAATTTTTCCCCACAGAAACAATCATGAAGAGTGGTTAAATCCCACTGTACCATCGGTACAACTCTTCAGCTATATTACAGAGTAAAGGGGCTTTTAGAACCATCCTGGGAAACTAATCTATACAATGTTGTTTCTATGGGAAAATTAGTTCCAAGCCACAACCAGCCATTTACAAAACTTTGAAATTCAATCTCACCGGTCAAATGAACACTGCCTATATACAGTTCATGCTCCAGACCAACTTTAAAAATGACTAAGAAAACAAAGTTGAGGTCTGTATTTTCTTAGTTTGTTATTCAATGCCTAACAGTAAAGCTGGCAAATACAATAAAAAATAAAACGTTTTTTACTAATTCATCTCACATTTATTCTTAAATCTACTACGTAAAATCCTTCTATCCCAAATGAACATTATATTACGTACATAAACTAGATATACTCAACAATTTCAAAGAACAGCATGGGAATGTACCTTCACATATTCTCTTTGCAACATGAATTTAATAATATCCGTTATTGACTCTTTAATATCCGCAGGAAGATTCTGGAAAAAAAAAAAAAGAATTTTGGAAGCTACTATGTACACTGAAAAAACAGACTACTGCATTTATTCCAAATCTATACTGTAGTTTTTAAGTCAGTTAAAAAAGGTATTTGCCAAGCAACCTCACCCTTTTCCGTAGCTTTCTGAAAAGCGGTCTGAGGTAGGACTCGGTCTGCTTCTGGGTGGCACTGTTCAGTTTACCCTGCACACTGCGTTTCACATAATCTTCTCTGCCATTCAGTTCTTTAGCCCAAACACCAAGAAGAAACTGTTGAAAGGATGGGTCAATTTAGACTACAATGCCACCCAGTGGTTCAGTAAATTTAAAAGCTCTCTAGCACACAAACACAGAATACAATCATCCTTAAAGTAAATGTCTTGATTGATTAAAATGCCACCAAATAATACTGAATAAGCTAGTTCTGCTCATTCATCATGGTAATGCTATGAAGCAGTACCTTTGGCAAGTCACCAACTTCCCTAGTGTACATATTCCTAGCTCAAGATAATGTGCTTCCCCAAAAAAGAACTATCAAGTTTCACAGTTAATTATTTGACAGGAAATAAACTTGTATTTGTATTTCTATTATACATATAAAATTCAACAAGTTACAAGTTCCAAGAAAGCTGTAGAGACCACAATTAAGTTTAAAAACCACTGAAGCACCTGACTAAAGAAGAAGGAAAAAGAGAAACAGAAACCATGACCCAGCATTCTCACCCCACCCATACCCCTAGAAAACCACCTCAGTGCCCCTTGAGTTTAATGGTATAAATGGCACCCTTTCTAGAAGTAGGTAACAGAAAAGGCTGAGGAAGGTGTTTTCCCCTAGAAGCATTGTCTACGCATGTCCTAGAAGAGGCCGCCACTCAAAGAAGAAATTCTAGTTCATACTAGTTCCTATGCCCTATCTAGATAGTTACATGCCATATCCTCAATATATTCAGAATATTGATGCCATATCCTCAATATATTCAGAATCTTGATGACTAATATGTTGCATCTAAAATGTACATATAAGCAAGAGTATTCCTTGCATACAAATCTTAGTCTGAACACAGTTTGTGAATAAACTGTGTTCAGTTTACTCAGTTAAAATATCTGTGATTTGTTCATATACTACCCAAGACCACTAAACAGAGGAATGGTGAGAAGAAAGTTGGAATCAGCACGTCACGGCAAAAACAGGCAATTCTCTGTAGAACTGAAGAAATGAACACTCTGCAAGGTTCTGGATGTGTTTACCTTTTTCAGTGACAGTGTCTTTCCACCTCCTGCTTTTCCTGACCGTTGTCAACCTCTCATAAAAGCTTCTAGCCCAGGTGTGGTGGCTCACACCTATAATCCCAACTCTTTGGGAGGTGGAGGCAGGCGGACTGCTTGAGGCCAGGAGTTTGAGAACAGCCTGGGCAACACAGTTAGACCCCCGTCTCTACAAAAAACTAAACAATTAGCTGGGCGTAGTGGTAACTGCGCTACTACTCATGAGGTTGATGAGCCCAGCATTTCAAGGTTACAGCCAGCTATGATTACACCAGCCTGGGCAATACAGAAAGACCCTTTCTCTTACCCAAAAAAAAAAAAAAAAAAAAAAAAAATCCAGAACCCTCTTTCACACATCTTCTTTCAGTTATCTTTAAAAAATAAGAAATTCAGCTGGATGCCATGGCTCATGCCTATAATCCCAGAACTTTGGGAGGCCGAGGTAGGCAGATCACTTGTAGTCAGGAGTTCGAGACCAGCCTGGCCCGCAGAGCAAAACCCTGTCTCTACTTAAAAAAAAAAAAAAAAAGAGTCGGGTGTGGTGCCACACTACTCAGGAGGCTGAGGCAGGAGAATCTCGAGAATCGCTTGAATCCGGGAAACAGAGGTTGCATCAAGCCGGGACTTGATGGAATGCCGCTGCATTCCAGACTGGGTGACAGTGCAACACTCTATAGAAACTCCATCAACGTCTTATTAATTCAGCTGTTGTGATTCTTTTCTATGTGTTTACATTAATAAGCCAGTTTTTAAAAATACACCACAAGAAAAGTAGACCAGGCACAGTGGCTCACACCTATAATACCAGCACTTTGGGAGGCTGAGGCAGGTGGATCACCTGAGGTCAGGAGTTCAAGACCAGCCTGGCCAACATGGTGAAACCCCCGTCTCCACTAAAAATAAAAAAATTAGCCAAGTATGGTGGCGGGCGCCTGTAATCCCGTCTACTCAGGAGGTTGAGGCAGAAGAATCGCTTGAACCTGGGAGGTGGAGGTTGCAATAAGCCTAGATTGCGCCACTGCACTCTAGCCTGGGAGACAAAAGCAAGACACTGTCTCCAAAAAAAAAAAAAAAAAAGAAGCCACAAGAAAAGCAAATATGAGTAAATATGCATTTTCTCTGCTGTATCAAATGCATAGTGGTATCATAAACATCACAACATGTATGTGCAAGAAATGTGTAGAGGTTTTCCTGTTCCAGCCTTTAACCCCTGGTGATCTTAAAAATCTAAGAACAGTTCACAAGGATCCAAAGCATCCTCCTTCCCTAGCCTAAGACACGCACCTTCAGGAATTTGGTGATGATGTCCATGTCTTTATGATCATCGCCTTTCCCTAAGGACTCTCCCAGCGCCTGAAAAAAAGTAACAACGCTTCTGTCTGTTAGCACAGGGCAACAATTAAACATATATATTACCAACACCAGTCTAAATATGGCTCTTGGTCACATACACCTGTTCAATTTTTACTTAAAAACTTGATGGAATTTCTAGGTAAGAAACTAAAAACAAAAACCTGAAACTTGGAGAACATGTTATCTTTTATGAAAAGACAAGAGGGGGTAATCAATGTGAGGTTTCTTCTGGGGGGAACAAAAATGTTCTAAATGTTCTAGATTGTGATTTTAAAAAAACAAATAAATACACAAATAGGAAGAAAAAAGCCCACAAATGTTTACCCATACCAATTATTTTAGTAAAATTTAGGGACCATAGGTAAGTACTGGAGGAGGGAGGGGATTAAAATGACATCTTCCTCAACTGTGATCTCATTCAGAGGGACGGCTACATGTGCAAGAGCCAGAAATTAAAGGAAACAGAAAAATAACACTTCATAGTTTTCTTAAGCATTCAGAACTTAAAGTCTTATTTATTTTACATGCTAGATACTTACATGATACAAAATTGCTGGTTAACTAAGATTATACATTAACATTCCACATGCAGAACTGTGGCAGAAATTAGAAAGCAAGATATTGCCAAGTGTTGGCAGGGCTGGAAAAACACAAGACCCTCACACTGCTGGTGTAGACTAGGACAGCCACTTCCAAGAGCGACTTGGCAATACTTAGACAAGCTAAACACGCATATATAAATCCCACAGTCCTGCTCTGTTAGGCCATCGTGGTTACGCATAAGACTGTTCATCACGAAGCTGTCTGTGGCAGGAGGGAGCTGGAAATAATCTAGCTGTCCATCATTACAGAGAACAAAAAATCAAATGCAGTGAACACCAGAACACATGGAATCCTATGTAGCAATTAAAAGCAAAGGATTAAATGTACATACAGCATTAAGGGTGGCTGTTAAAAGCATAGTGCTGCTAAATGAAAAAAAAGAAAAGTAAAAAATAAAAAATTTCACAGCATAACATCATTTTTATAAATAAAAAATACATGCTCACAAAACACTGCAGGTAACAAGAGCCTATTAGAATAGCTCCTGTTGAAGGCAGCAAGTAGCGGAATGTGAGTGGAGGATGAGAAAAAGGGGAGTCAATAAATAAAAACAGGGAGTAAATAAACAAAAGACCCAACAGAAGCAGTGTGCTCTGCACTGAACTTAATCGGCCTGACTCGGCCATCTGCTCCACAGCAAAGAGGGGTGGTAGGGGCGCACTGAGATTGGAGTAGAGACTACCTCTAACTCTTCAATTGTGGTGTTTTCCTCATGAACTTTCAAATCATTCTGTGTGTCTTCCTCTCCAGGCTCCTGACCACCCACGATTTCATTCAGGTACTGCTGATCAATCTTATCCAAGGCTGCTTTCAAATCATTCCTCAATCCCTAAGAAAGGTTTAAAAAAAAAAAAAAAAAAAGGAAGAATATCTGTTATGAAATTTCAGTGATGTTTCACCTCTTTCATTAATAACTGCAATTATTTCCACACCCCACCCCACCCCAAGAAGTTAAGAGCTTAGCAAAAGCAGGTACTCAAATGACATCCATTTATCACACAACTATCATTACTGTCCTTTTAAAGTTAATTCTTATGGACATATTTAAATTAAAACAATGCATGAACAATGGCCAGTCTGCTGGTCAGAAAAATAAAACACACCTGAGTGACTAATCCAAACAAGAATCCTCATAAATGCTGTAATTTTCTAGTGAGGCTTAGTGAAAGTGACAGGTATCCATTGGAGTCCCCAATCCTTTTGCCCAGCTCATTTACAACGTCTAACCTCAACTACTGTGAACTCCCAAAACATTCAGAAATGTCAATGGAATAAAATTGGTTGCCTCACCTACAGCCTAGATTCTCAACTATGTTTCTACCCAATCAGCAAATTCTGCATTTTATGCACATATGGTTCATGACCATTTAATAAAAAATGGAAGCCTCAGTTTCCTAAAAATGAATGAGAATCAGCTGCAAGGTTTAACGGCCAAGGAACCATGGCCGTGAGGTAGCTTTAGGGTAATGGTTGAGAGCAAAGGCTATCTGGGTTCAAATCCTGCCACGTACTATTAAACAGCTCTTCCACCACTTGCCTAACCCCTGTATGCCTCAGTTGCCTCACCTACAAAATAGGAAAAACGGCACCATCTACTATGTAGGGCTGTCATGAGGATGCCATTTTTTATTTCAGTGAACAGTTACTATGGGATGGGACTGTTCCAGAACCTTGCAAACATCACGTCAAGTAAGTAAGCTAAGAAATGGACAATGCACTTTGAACAGTTGCTGGAGCACGGTGCACATTTAACCAATGTTAACTCCTAACGTTCTTACATGAGAAGCATCTGATCATTGTCTACTGTCCTTTCATAAACATAGAAGAGAAACATTCAACTCAAAACACTTTTAATTTCCCAAATGCTGACTGACCACCTGCTGCGTATAAAGTATGATGCCAGGCATTCCCAGAGGCCATCTCATTGAATTCTCACCACCTCCCGGTTGGCCAGATATCACTGTCTCTGTTTTACCAATGAGGATTCTAAGGCTCAAATAGATTTTAAAAACTTGCCAACAGTCACACAATTGATGATGATAATCCAGGAATGCAATCTAGACCTCGTGCTCCTGTGCTCTGTCCTCAAAATCTCTAGACGCACGTCACTAGCCTTGGCATACAAAACTAAAACAGCCTTTGCTCACCAGGAAGAGCTAAGTATGCATATAACTCTAATAACGGTGAAATACATTAAGGACACTAACAAAGTTTTATCATAGGTTCGTGGAAAAGGAAGCAATTAATTCTGACTTGGATCAAAAATCAATCCAGAGAAAATACGTGGTCATCGAATTGCATGTAAAAGTACAAAAACAAGATTTCAACCACAGCATACAAGAGAGAAACACAGCAGGCAAAGGAAAAATGATAATCACAGACAAAGAGGACTGAAGGCAACTGCCAGCGTTGTGCGGCTGGAATGGCAACGCTGGGAGGTGAGGCAGGAACGTGGGTTGAGAAAGCAGTGAGACAGCCCACGCTAGCAGACAGACAGCACTGAGGGGGAGGGGCCTGGAAAGCCCCAGCGGTTCCCGCCATTCCAACTGAGATACCAGGAAAGAGGACCAGTCCAGGGCAGCCTCAGATGACTTCAGCCACAGCCTTCATCTGACTGCAATCACAAGGAAGACCCCGAGCAAGACACTGCTCAATCCAGCCCAATCAAACCACACAGCTGGTTATTAAGACAATAACAAATTATCTTAAGCTACCAGGTTTCAGGGTGGCTTGTCACCAAAAACAGATGTTATAATAATAATTTATAACAAATAAACACTAGTCAGTTTTGGGGTGGTCTATTACATAGTCATAGATACCACACCTGTCTCTCAATAATTGAGAGAGCAAATAGATACAAAGTTAATAAGGCCACAGAAGATCTGAACAACACTATCATCACTGATGTGTAGGACTGTACCCTGAAAGCAAAACAATACTTTTTTCAAGAGCCCATGGAATATACCATATGCTAAGCCATGAAACAAGATGAGAGCCTTAAATGTAAAAGCAAAACTATAATATTAAGCTTCCAGAAGAAAATAAAGACTATCTCTTTGAAACCTTGGGATAGGCAAAGATTTCTTAAGCAGGACACAAAAAGCAATGACCATAAAAGAAAAAGCCAATAAACAAGACCATAAAAATATAAAACTTCTGGGCTGGCCAGTTTGGGAGGATCACTTGAGTCCACGAGTTCAAGATAAGCCTGGCAACATAAGGAGACCCCATCTCCATAAAAATTAAATCAGCTGGGCATAGTGGTGCATACCTGTGGTCTCAGCTACCTGGAAGGCTGAGGTTGGAGATAACTTAAGCCCAGGAGTTTGAGGCTGGAAATGAGCCATGATCATGCCACTGAACTCCAGCCTGGGTGAGAGTAAGACCCTGTCTCAAAAAGTGTGTGCGCGCGCACACACACACACATTCTATTCACCAAAAGATTCAATTAAGAGAAGAGGTAAGCCATAAACTACAAGAAAAAAGCCACAAAACATTTCCATATACAGATACATAGAACTTCTATCCAGAATATATAAAGAATTCCTATAATCCATCAACAAAAAGAAAAGTTAATCTTTAAAGTGAACAAAAGGCACTTGTAATTCCAGCTACTCCAGAGACTGAGGTTGGGAGGGCTGCTTAAGCCCAGGAGGCTGAGGCTGCAGTGAGCCATGGCTATGCCACGGCATTCTTGTGTAGGTGACCATGTCTCAAAAATAAATTAATAATGAAAGAAAGACTTTAATAGGCACTGCATAAACTGCACTTCATAAAAATATAAGACAAGTCTATGGAAAGATGCTCCTCCTCTTTAGTCATCAGGCAGTGTGGTTAAAGCCACAGTGTGCTGCTACCAGACACAAGAGAAGGGTTACAATTTTAAAAACAATACCACATGCTGAGGTTTGGAAATGAGTGGCATTTCTTAGGAACTTAAGCCAACATCTACTCTTACTCTCCACCACCAATTCTACTTCTAGGTATTTCCCACAAGATATAACATATTTACCCAAGAAAAATAACATCGTTCCAAAAAAAGATCTGCGTAAGAATGGTCATAGCAGTTTGATTCCCTATAGCCCAAAGCTGGAAACAAATTTTGATATACTCATATAACTGAGTATAACTGAAAAAAGAAGAGGAAACTAGTGATATCTGCAATAACACAGACAAACCTAAAAACGGTTATGCTGAGCAAAAGAAGCCAGACCCCCAATCTATGAGTCTATCTGCATGAAATATCACAGCAAGCAAAATTAATCTATGAAGATAAAATTCAAATGGTGGCTGCCCAGGAGTGGAAGAGGAGGGATATGGGGATTGGCTGAGAAGGGTACTGGGGAAATTTCCTTTTTTCTCAACTCTGAAGTTCAGGGGTGCATGTGCAGGATGTGCAGGTTTGTTACATAGGTGAACGTGTGCCATGCTGGTTTACTGCACAGTCATCCCATCACCCAGGTATTAAGCCCAACATCTATTGGCTCTTCTTCCTGATGCTCTCGGGGGTATTTCTTCTATCCAGAATAGACAGAAGAAACATTCTGGTGACAAAAATGTTCTATTTCTTTATAAGAACATGCTTGTTACATGCTTGTATGTATTTGTCAAAATGCACTAAACATTATACTTAAGACATGTGTTTTTCAAAAAATTAATGGAAATTTCCATTCAGGAGCAGTAGTCTGCCCACTTCCTTCTTCCACTGCTGCCTACGGTAATGCACTTAGTCAAACTCTACCCTAGGGTACGCAGTACAGTGGCGTTTTTCCAGTTTTGGTCTGTCCTCCAACCTTGTTAACTTCTGGTGTGAGGATCTCTATTTTTCTTAAACGTTGAAAAGCATCATAATCGGTTTCTCCAAATAGTCTGATTGGTTCTCCTCTTTCTCTCAACCTTCTGATGACCTATAAAGTGAAACAAATACTCAGTAAATTATTTACCTTTTGACAGAGGAAAAAACTACACATCTCAAAACAATTTGTATATTGTACCTTAAAAGCAAAGCCTAGGTTTAATAAAGCTAATTAAACACGTTTCTGTGTAAAGTATAAAATCCTTCAAATATTTTAAATCATTTCACAAAGCTGTTTCCGAATCAAAGAGAAAATCAAGTTCTTTAGTTAACAATCTATTTTGACTCAAAAGTCAGTTATTAATTTTATTACCAAATAGCTCCCAGAAAGTGGTCTATGAATCTACAATTCAAATCTAAGGAAAGATCCTAATATAAACCACCTCTTTTATTGTAAGATTAAAAAAAGTTCTTTTTCATAAGAAAAAGGGCATGTTTTTGGCCCTCATTTTACATACTTATAACTGTTCTGTCTGCATTAAGAAACACTGGAAAAACCATAGTAATTGCTTATGTCAGCATGTTTTTGGTGACCAAACACTTGTTTTGAAATGTAGATGCAAAAAGGAAGCTGTTCACTCTTTAATTTTCCATGAAAAGATATACTGTGTTATCATTACACCTTAGGTAACCATAAAGTTTTGGTCGTTTAGCTGACTGCTTCAGTAGGACCAATCTGTGCAGCGGGGCACATAGGAAAAACACTAAAATGGGAGGAAATAACAGCATTTATAAAGAGAAGGAAAACAAAATCTGAAGCCAGCTGATAATGCAGTTACCATGATGGAGAGTCAGCACTGTGATACCACCATCAAACCAAAAACTCCTCCCTCAGAAGAAAAGGAGTTATAATCTGCATATGCACAGCTTTTGAGATGCTGATAATCTATTTCCAAACTTGGGTGATGGTTATATGAATATTTATTTTGTAATTATTATTTTTTTTTTTTTGAGACAGAATCTCGCTCCCTCGCCAGGCGCCAGACTGGAGTGCAGTGGCACAATCTCATCTCACTGCCACCTCCGCCTCCTGGGTTCAAGCAATTCTCCTGCCTCAGCCTCCTGAGTAGCTGGGATTACAGGCGCGTGCCACCATGCCCAGCTAATTTTTGTATTTTTAGTTAAGACGGGGTTTCACCATGTTGGCCAGGATGGTCTTGATCTCCTGACCTTGTGATCCGCCCGCCTCGGCCTCCCAAAGTGCTGGGATTACAGGCGTGAGCCACCCCACCTGGCCATAATTATTCATAATTATTCACGTGTGTAACATATTGCCATAATGTTTCATTCACTTTATATACATGCTATATTTCATTTTAAAAGGAAGAACCAGAAAACTTAATTAACAAAATAAAGACTAGTCTAAATTTTTTTAAAAAACAAAAATAAGGAACACCAAGAGCTTTACTCTGGAGCAGAAATAGCATCACACCTAGAATCCACTGTGAGGGTTCCCACTGGATTAACAGAAGTTTGAGATTAAAATAGAAATTTAAGAGGTCATCTTGTGCTATCTCCAATCAATGTAGAAACGACCTCACAAACACCCTTGTCAGGTCCCAGTCTGACAAATGACAGGAATCATATTTCTTCATGAAACACCCCATCCCACTGTTTGGACAGATGTGTTTTGCTTCTCAAAACTGAAATCTACCTCCCTCAAACTTCTACCCATTTATCCTAGTTCCACTTTATGAAACCACAGAGAATATTCCAATTCTCCAAAATCAGAGCTACTTTCAATGCATTTTTTAAGGTATCTCTAATAATTCTCTGCAGCCTCAGTATTCTAAATTCCTTCACCTAATCTTCAAGTGATTCGATAGGATTCTAGAGTCAGTCATCATTCCTCTGAAAGCTGCCTTTTGTGCAATGTCCATCATAAAAATGTGGTCATGTAGAACTAAAAAATAATACTGCCAACATGTCACCCTGTGAGAAGTACAGAATCCACAAGCCTTTGATCTAGACGCTGTATCTCTATGAATTACATGCAGCCCTATCCACAATTACAGAGGTGTAACAGAGTAAGACTACTGAGGACTCACAAAAATGAAAGATGACCCTAAGCCAGTCAATCAAAGGCAAAAAGAACCTAAAGAGAAACAAAAAGAGAATGTTAGCTAGTTACCACTGTAGAACACTGCTTAAGATTGGGTGCTATAACTTAGGCCAAGTTGTGAGGCGTGCTTATTATTTTCCAGAGGTCAGTTTAAATAATTAACTCTCATCTATCTGGAATTATGTAACAGTGGTTCTGCAAGGTAATAAACTACCTGACTTCAAAATTTCTTTTAGTACAAGAATTCTACTATTCTAATGTTTTTAAATAAAAAAGCTGAAATATACCACTCCTCCCCCACGCCCCCACCAAAAAAATGACACAGACTAAAGGAACATCAGAGAAAGAACTTAAGCCTCTGACTCCTCTTTTACTATTTCAATAGAAGCTCCCTCAATGAAGGCAGGAACATCTTCCCCATATCATGTCTAGTACTTAATTGATGTACCACTATTAATCAGTAACAACGATTTACTAAGGATGAATCTCACAAAAAGAACAACTTCTTAAAAGTACTTTGTCTTTTAACCCAAACTGTTCAATGTTTAAAGACAAAGTAAATTCTAGGCCAGGTGCAGCAGCTCATGTCTGTAATCCCGGCACTTTGAGAGGCTGAGGCGGAGTTCAAGACCAGCCTGGCCAACATGGCAAAACCCCATTTCTACTAAAAAATTAGCCAGGCATGGTGGCGCATACCTATAATTCCAGCTATTCGGGAGGCTTAGGCATGAGAATCTCTTGAACCCAGGAGGTGGAGGATGCAGTAAGCCGAGATCATGCAACAGCACTCCAGCCTGGGTGACAGTGCAAGACTTTGTCTCAAAAAATCAAAAAGTAACAGATTTCTAAAACATTTAAGTGACAGGAAATTTTAGGTATTTTTCTGACTATGAAGTTAATCCATGTCCAGTTGAGATACAAAATTAAAATATAAAGAAAATAGTATTTTCGGGGGCCGGGCGCGGTGGCTCAATCCTGTAATCCCAGCACTTTGGGAGGCCGAGGCGGGTGGATCACGAGGTCAAGAGATCGAGACCATCCTGGTCAACATGGTGAAACCCCGTCTCTACTAAAAATACAAAAAATCAGCTGGGCATGGTGGCACGTGCCTGTAATCCCAGCTACTCGGGAGGCTGAGGCAGGAGAATTGCCTGAACCCAGGAGGCGGAGGTTGCGGTCAGCCGAGATCGCGCCATTGCACTCCAGCCTGGGTAACAAGAGCGAAACTCCGTCTCAAAAAAAAGTAATAATAATAATATTTTCTATACATAATGAGTTCATAAAGGTAGTGAAAATAATACACATTTTTTTTTAACTCTTAGGAATGGAGGTAATCTTTTTAAGCATGATGCCCAAGACAAAAAACATAATGTAAAAGATTGATGTCATCACATAAAAATTTAAAACTTCTGGATGACAAAACACGAATACACTGACATAAATATATAGTATGTATATCTGATACATATACACTTATGAACACAGGTTAACACCCTTAACATATAAACATATTAATTTACAAATAAAGACAAATTTCACAAAATAAAAACAGCAATTCCACAAAAAAGGACACATTAATGACCACTGAACACATGAAAACATGTTCAATTCTAATAATCACTAACAAAGTTTCAAGTTAACACAAGATACCTATTTTACCCATCAGTTTGGCAAAAATTTAAAATAATATTGCTTTCGGACTGGCAAAGGCTAAAACATTTGAAAATAGTTGACTGAAATGCTAGGAAAATGGTCTTACAAACTTCGAGATGGAACGTAAATTGGCACAGCTTCTTCGAAGGACAATTTGACATACCATAGACACACTCTGACTAGAAATTCGTTTCCTAGGAAATTATCCTACTGATAAACTCATACAAATATCAAGAATACGTATAAGGAGGTTCTCCTTAGCACTGTATGTAATGGCAAATAATTAATCTAAATCTCCATCAGTAAAGGACTAATTTTAATAAATAACAAACCTACTACTAAAAACAATACCTGAATGTGTTGAGTAGCTCACTATTAAGTACTGTTTTCTTCATGTATTACCTCATTTTATGATGAAAGTCTCCTGAGGTAGACCCAATTATCATCCTCATTCAGACATAAGGAAATGGAGAAGCAAACCAGGTAACCTGCCTAAATCACATGGACTGTGAAAAACGTTCACACGCACCCCTCCAACACAAAATGGCCTTCAAAATCTATTTTCAGTGAAAAGACTAAGGCACAAATGCATATAAATAATCTCGTTTGTATGAAAGGGGAAAACAGTACACACATACACACTGATGCTTGTACTGAGCAGGAGAAGGACTGAGAGGAGACCGGGGGGCAGAGTGAGGGGAAGTGGGGGGATGGAAGACAGAAAAGAGAGAAGAAAGTTTTGCTTTACAGCCTTCTGTACTCATTTCATTTCTTTGTATCACATGAATTTTTTTTTTTTTTTTTTTTTTTTCCCGAGACGGAGTTTCGCTCTTGTTACCCAGGCTGGAGTGCAATGGCGCGATCTCGGCTCACCGCAGCCTCCGCCTCCTGGGTTCGGGCAGTTCTCCTGCCTCAGCCTCCTAAGTAGCTGGGATTACAGGCACACGCCACCACGCCCAGCTGATTTTTTGTATTTTTAGTAGAGACGGGGTTTCACCATGTTGACCAGGATGGTCTCGAACTCTCGACCTCGTGATCCACCCGCCTCGGCCTCCCAAAGTGCTGGGATTACAGGCTTGAGCCACCGCGCCCGGCCACATGAATATTTTTAAATTTTTTTTTTTTAAGTAATAATAGTTGATACTGATGAAGGTATAGACAAACACTATAAACACGACAGCTAAGAGTATAAAGTGACACACGTCTAACACCTAAGACCTGTCTGGTAATATGTAGCAAAGTCTTAGAAATATACATCGTGTTTGCCCTAAATATCACGCTTCTAGAAATGTTTCCAAAGGAAATAATTACACATTATGTATGCAATGATGTCTATATAAGGATGTTCATCTTAGTATTATTTATAATAAGGATATGCTGAAGCAATCTAAACTATCATTAATAAATTATTTTTAAAATATCATGGTGCGGCCAGGCACGGGGTGGCTCACACCTGTCATCTCAGCACTTTGGGAGGCCAAGGCAGGCGGATCATTTGAGGTCAGGAGTTTGAGACCAGCCTAGCCAACATGATGAAAACCCATCTCTACTAAAAATAAAAAAAAATTTAGCCGGGTGTGATGGGCACCTGTAATCCCAACTACTCAGGAGGGTGAGGCAGGGGAATCCTCTGAACCTGAAGGCGGAGGCTGCAGTGAACCAAGATCGCACCACCACATTCCAGGCAACACAGTGAGACTCAGTCTCAAAAATAAATATATAAATATTATGGTGCAAACAAGCAATGGAAAATTATATACTCATTCAAAATTATGCAGATCTCCATATTTTAATCTGGAAAGATGTACAATTTATTAAATAAGGGAAAGGGAAGTATGTTACAAAACAATATAATAATTAAAATAATTTAACCATAAACAAGTAGCATAAATGCATTTAGTTATACTTATTTTTGAATATTCTTTTTTTTTAAAGTTTAGAAGGGTAGGCTCTAAAAAAACAGTAAGATAATAATATCAAGAAGCAGTGAGTAATTTGGAACTTCAAGAAGAAAATCAGCCACACAGTATTTTTAGGTCAGTCACTTTATACAAGAAATAATGACATTTAACTTATTGGAAAAGCTGGAGATAAATGTAAACACTGTGGAGATCTTCCTTTTTTTTTTTTTTTGAGACGGAGTTTCGCTCGTTACCCAGGCTGGAGTGCAATGGCGCGATCTCGGCTCACCGCAACCTCCGCCTCCTGGGTTCAGGCAATTATCCTGCCTCAGCCTCCTGAGTAGCTGGGATTACAGGCATGCGCCACCATGCCCAGCTAAGAGATCTTACTTTTTATCATGAAACAACCACAGTTAAACTTACCTCTTGCCTAGAAAGCGTCATGGGTAATTTTTCCTCCGCCAGTTCAAGTTCTAACACCGGGTTCGATGAAGTTAATGGTTTCTGGTCCTCCTCTTGAGGCTGTATCTATATTAATTGCCAAAAGAAATGAAATTCAGCTTTAAAAATATAGTTAATATTTACCATTCTATTACCTTAGCTATTCATGGAAATTAAACATGTTTTCAACACTGAAGGTTTTCTAATGTTCCTCTGAGGAAAGAGCTCATAATACATGTGCATGCTTGTAAGAGAGAGTCAAACATATTCACGTCAGGGGTATCACAAGTGCAGAGCATGCACAGAGGAATCAGCATTCTTGCTATAGAAGAGTGATACGACTATTATGGTTTCCAAAATCCAAATTTAACAGGACTGAAGTTAGCAGTCTCTTTCTCCCCAGATTCTAAAGAACTGTACTTTTTCCTTAAAAACAATCGACTTGCTTTTCCTCTTTAAATCATCTTAGAGGGTTATTTGACTCTTGCCCAGCTTTAAAATGAAGACAAAAGAATTTCTTTGCAACTTGGCAACCTGTGAAACTCCAAGCTCTAGCTTTTCCTATGCTGCTTTTCTAAACATATTATTTCAAATGTATGGAAATCACTGTTGGACATACAGAAAAATTCCTAGTGCTATACAGGGCTGGTCCACAACCCGAGCTATGCATCTTGCAGAGCACCTCTCTACTCATGCCACCCAGGGAAAGAAAGGGCATTCTTGTTCATATGAATCTGTAGAAAAAACAAAATCTCTTCACATATTTTCTCAAATCTGTTGCTCAAGTCTCAGTTTAGGAAAACTGAATTCAGCAATTTATAAGCCCCATTATGGAGTCTGCAAAAAAGATACTGAAACGTGGTTTTCCATCTGACCATAAGATAAATCTAAAATGCTGAAAGTAGTAAGATCAAATGAACATAAAAGACGATCAACATTAAGAAAGAAACTCACATTGAGAAAGGCTATATGGTGAAAATTATATAATTCATGATTCTACAGCTTACGGTTAAATTTATGTTTACCAGAACTAATTGATATTGAGGTAAAATTAAGGTAACAAACTAAGCCTTTATATTTTCACAGGTCAAATCAGCATCAAGCCTTAAAAAATGCTAACTAGTTTCTACAAAAGAATAAAAGTAATGAATACTATGTCATTACTACCAAGACAGAAATATTAAAAAACCTTTAGAAAGATTAGAAAGAACACCTGTGCTTTACTTTTTAAGCACAGAAACATATTTCCCCAAAAATCTCAGGATTAAAAACACATTTAATTATATAATGGCAGTTAATGGCTCTGGGGAAATGATCTAAGTCATTTCATCAGACAAACTCAAAGTTATAAGCAAGTATCTTTTCAGTAATTATTTTCTTCAATGCTTTCCTCTATATAAACCAAAGCACACTAAACCAAAGCAAAAACTGCCATTATATTAAATTACTTTCCTGCCTTATAAAAAAGTTGAAAAGGCTCAAATTTAGGACTCTGGGAATGCCACACGCCAGCAGAGTAAACCTACGCAAGTGATTCTTATTCCAGACCAAGTGTGAGGTAGACAACACTGGGCAAGGCAAAAATGACAGCTCCTTTCTGATTATCTACCTACTCAATGGTTAACAGAAAACTTATTTTCATTTCCTAATTAAGCAAATAAAATACCTTTGTGGAAAAAAAATCAAAATACAAGTGTCAACTTTCCCATATTTTAAAAACATATCAGAAATATGATTACATTTTTAAATAACTTTTAAGTCACTTGTTAGTATCTTTTGAAAATTACATTTTTCTTTAATATGTGTCTTCTGCCAGCACTACAAAGAAAACCAAATGCATATACATACCATGTGCATTCCTCATGCTTCCTTCTAAAAATGCTATGCAGGATAAATCCATTTCCAGAACTTTCCTCATTACATGCACAAAAGTATTATCTTATATTGATATTTCACAAGCAAAATGTTCATTACAAGTTTATGACTTGGCAAAAGTATTTCAATAGAATCTCTGAGCTTTGAGTTAAAAATTAAGCTAGATAAAGTCTTCTTTCAAAATAATTTAAACTTCTCCACCTCATACCCTTTAACCCCTCCCAATAAAACCACAATACATTATCAACTAGATAATCTCAAAGACAATTTCAGTCATGGTTCTAAAATATACAAGCAAAGCCTTCCAGACAACTCATTTTTTTGTTTGTTTGTTTGTTTTTTGTTTTTGAGATGGAGTCTTGCTCTGTTGCCAGGCTGGAGTGCAATGGTGTGATCTTGGCTGACTACAACCTTCACCTCCCGCATTCAAGTATTCTCCTGCCTCAGCCTCCCAAGTATCTGCCCTGCTAAATTTTTGTATTTTTAGTAAAGACAGGATTTCACTGTGTTGGCCAGACTGGTCTTGAACTCCTGACCTTGTGATCCACCTGCCTTTGCCTCCCAAAGTGCTGGGATTACAGGCATGAGCCACCACATCCAGCCTCAACTTAGTTGTTTCTAAGAAATATTTCAAGATTACATTTTCTATCTGATAAACTAAACACTGTTTGAAATGTGATACCTTATTTCAACAAAAGCATATAAATATATCTGGCTTTAGATTTTAGGCAGAGGTTCTTAGGACCCAAAAGGACGTATTAACAATGCAAACATAAAAATCCATAGCTTAAAATATTCCGGAGAAGGCAGGGAAATTACCACCACTAATACTGCTGTGGCTAGATGCATAAATGTTTTGAACTCTTTCCAACAGGTTATTTTATTGGGAGAGGTGGGGGAGAGGAGTGGTGGTGGAGTTGAAAATAAGGCAGTCTCAGATTCAGGACTTAATTAAAAAAAAAATTCAAGCTTTGGTGTCAAGCCACTTCATGCTGTCCACAAAAAGCCAAACCATTCCAAGCCAAAAGTCATGCATGTATTTTCCTGAATTCAAGATTTGTTTTTAAATGCAAAACCAAAAAACCAGAAACTCATACCTCTCCAGATGGCTTCTCATTTATAGGCTAACGTATAACATTGATAAATTGAACAGAGATCAATGATTGTCATTTAATAACAGCTGTATAAATTAAAACTCAGAAACATACAATTTAACATAAAAGCAGGCATTCCTACCTTGTAGCCACATCTTTCAAAATATGCTTCCTCTTCTTTTTTGGCAAGTTCACTACGCTTGAAATATTTTTTATTTTCCTGTTAAAGAAAAAAATTATGTTAGTAATATATCGTTGGGCAAAATTCATGTCCCATAGTCAACAAGTACCTTTAGAAACCTTTTGAAAACATTCTTCAGTCTCTCAAGAATTTGAGAAATTTGGCCGGGCTCGGTGGCTCAAGCCTGTAATCCCAGCACTTTGGGAGGCCGAGGCGGGTGGATCACGAGGTCGAGAGATCGAGACCATCTTGGTCAACATAGTGAAACCCTGTCTCTACTAAAAATACAAAACACTAGCTGGGCATGGTGGCACGTGCCTGTAATCCCAGCTACTTAGGAGGCTGAGGCAGGAGAATTGCCTGAGCCCAGGAGGCAGAGGTTGCGGTGAGCCAAGATCGCGCCATTGCACTCCAGCCTGGGTAACGAGAGCGAAACTCCGTCTCAAAAAAAAAAAAAAAAAAAAAAAAGAATTTGAGAAATTCTTTTTGTTCCAGAGATAAATACGTTGACTCCCCAAACACATCACCAACCCCCCACAGCGACTATGGGCACTGATGCGTGATAAGGTCAAGGATTTTTCTTGCAGTATCATATTAGTAGGCATGTTCATCAGCAAAGAGGAGGCCAAGAATATTTTCCACGTGTCCACACTGTTTTAATTTCCTAATATTTGAGTTCAAAGGTAATTTCTTCAAATGGATTCATTAAGAACCACATAAACTGGTTTATCTCAATTATTTTTCCTAACACAAAGGTGTGACATACATGGCCTACATCTGAAATCCCACATAACAAGGGAACTCCAAGAGTCTAAGTTCTTTCTTGTTACCTGGAAGCTTAGTCTAGATATAGGGTGGTCCTGGTGAACCTTTTTATTTAAAAAAGAACTTAAGGATACTTGTGGCTTTGTGTGTTTTTCTGGATTTTTTTTTTTTTGAGACGGAGTTTCGCTCTTGTTACCCAGGCTGGAGTGCAATGGTGCGATCTCGGCTCACCGCAACTTCCGCCTCCTGGGTTCAGGCAATTCTCCTGCCTCAGCCTCCTAAGTAGCTGGGATTACAGGCACGCGCCACCATGCCCAACTAATTTTTTGTATTTTTTTTTAGTAGAGACGGGGTTTCACCATGTTGACCAGGATGGTCTCGATCTCTCGACCTCGTGATCCACCCGCCTCGGCCTTCCAAAGTGCTGGGATTACAGGCTTGAGCCACCGTGCCCGGCCTCTGATTTGATTTTTTTTTTTTTTTTTTTTTTTTGAGACAGGGTATCTCTCTGTCACACAGGCTGGAGTGCAGTGGCACAATTAAGGCCACAACTTTGACTTCCTGGGCTCCGATGATCCTCACAAGGTATTTGTTTTAATATGATTTGATGTGAAGAGACAAGTTCTAAGTCTTGTCTGCAGCTACAAAGATGTCAGTCCTTTCCACACGATACATAAATTTATCCTTACTGTTGCATCTACAGTCCGTAATTGGGAGGCCTGCTGCTATCTCAGCTCTGGCTCTTGGATATTACTCAACTGATGACTTTGTTCAAATGAAGGTACTGCCCTACTGTATTAACAGTAATGATATGCTACTACCTCTATACTACCTCCACACATGTTATTTAGCACTTATAGTTCCAAAGCTCATTCACTCAGGCAATGATCATCAACGGATGCTGAAACCTTATGAAAAGGGCTGATGGTGACAAGGGAAAGATCAGCCTGCCAACAGTTGAACCCAAAGATGGAGCTTGGCATCAGTCAAAGATTACGTACCACCTAGGTTATACCATAGGAATTACCCAGCATCATCTATGAAGTACTCTTTTTAAATATAGCGAACAGAGGAATTAACTAAGTGGCAACATGCCAGGGCGCAAGCAGACGAACTGAAGACATTTTACAAAACTAGCCCCAATTTCTCCAGCAAGTCAATGGCATGGAAAAAAACTGAGGAAACTGGGAAAATGAAAATGTTCGTCATTAAAAGAAGCCAAGATTCAAAATAAAAAAATGTAATGAGCACACTTTATGTTGATCTGATTTGAAAAAGCACTGTAAAAGTATAAATATGTATATATTTTAATTCAGTCAGAAAATATATGAATGTGAGGAGAGTATTTGATAAGATTAGCAAACTAATTTCAATTTTGTTGGGTGTGATCAGATTTTAGTTATAAAAGGACATGTCATTTTTTAGAGTTACATGTGTCAGGAGGAGGATATACAGGGGCTCATCATACAATTTTCTCTATTTTTGCGTTATGTTTAAAACGTTCAGAATAAAGTTTTTCTAAGTTCATTAACTCAATAAGTATTTCCAGACTTATCTACCACACAACAAGCACAGCCTTCTCGATATAAAGATGAAGCTATTATCTGGGGTAAGGAACCGATGGCACCATCTGAACATGAAAACTATCCTGAGAATGGGGTGGGGAGGGAATAGCATTCACCCCTTTTTGGAGGTGAGACGCCAAGAATTAGGTTAGGTGACATTCCCAGAACTCAGGAAGAATGATGAGTAGCAGCTAGGACTCTGGTCCTCAAACCCTTTGTTCACATGTTACGTGATGCCTAACATTACTGTTAATAGAAACTATGAATGTCAGTATTTTAATTCCCATTCCCCTTTGTCGGTCTGGACTGCTCTGTGATTGGAAAAACCAATCTTATCTTCGGATTAAAATTATGTGATAATTAAACCAACTGCTAAATTAAAAAATGAAAGACAGCCAAGAAAAGTTTGTATATTATAAATTATAAACGACCCTGAAGAATCTAGGGTTTTTTTTTTTTTTCAAATTTTTTTAGATTTTTTATAGATTGATCCATTTCAACGACAAAGAACATAATTATGCAAATATTTATTTCGTAAACCGTCAGGATGGGCTCGGTATTTTGTGACTCACTTTTCCCTCTGAAGCACTTAGATTTCAACACTCTGGCCCTTCCTAACATCAACTATCTATTCCAACACCCAAATTTAAAATACTCCCAAACCACTTATGGAGTAAGTCCCTGCAGTAGACATAAAAACATGAAGTTACAGATATGAACAAGCTTTCCCCTTACCTACCAAATGGGATTCTATTACCTCCACTTTTCTAATCGTTTTTAAAGTTTCAATGACCATGGAATTTGCCACCTACCAAGCTAAGAACTCTTACTTACACTACATCATATACATCAATAGTACACAAAGTCCAAGTAACTAAGTCAGATATCCTGTGATGCACAGATTTCTAAGCGTCCTGAAGACCCTCTGAGAGGACTCATAACGTAGAAACTGTTTTCTATAGTAAGGCATTATCTGCCTGCTCACTCTAATGACATCCGCGCTGTGAGTGAAAAGCAGTGGTAAATTTGCATGTGTTGAGGAAGAGGGAAGGAGGAGGAATAGAATAAAAAGATTGAGATTTAATATTAGAAAGGAAGTTTTATTATTTATTTATTGTTAGAGACAGGGACTTGCTCTCTTGCCCAGGCTGGAGTGCAGTGGGCAAGAGAGCAAGTCCCACAGCTCACTGCAGCCTGAACTCCTGGGCTCAAGCGATCCTCCTCGCCTTGGTCTCCGGAGCACAGCTGGTTCTAGACATGCGCACCACGCCTAGCCAGAGGCAATTTTTTTTTTTTTTTTTTAAATTTGAGATGGTGTCTCCCTCTGTTGCCCAGGCTGGAGTGCAGGGGTGTGATGTTGGTTCCCTGGAACCACCACCTCCCGGGTTTAAGCGATTCTCCTGCCTCAGCCTCCTCAGTAGCTAGGATTACAAACGCTAACCACCACGCCCGGCTAATTTTAGTATTTTTAAGAGAAGAGGTTTCACCATGTTGGCCAGGCTGGTCTCCAACTCCTGACCTCAGGTGACCCGCCCACCTCGGCCTCCCAAAGTGCTGGAGCCACCGCGCCCGGCTGCCCTTCCTCCATGTTTTAATTGGGCACAAATCCTTCGTTCGGCGGCAGAAGAGAACTCTGAGGAGAACAGGGCACGTCCGCAGAATGCCGACAGGTGGGAGTGGGGATGGGGGCAATTAGGTAAACTGGAGGGGAACGGGGGCAGTCAGAGAGGGAAAAGCCAAAGCCTGGGGTTCTCCTCCAACTCCCACACTTCCATCCCTAAGGCTCCCAAGACGTTGCAGGATGGGAGGCTGTGAGTGTGAGCTGTCCTGGTCCTTGGCGTTTGGAACAAAGAATTTGACAACGCGCACAAAGAAAGTGACAAAACACACGAACGAAGCAGCAAAAGCAGGGACTTCTCAAAGCGAGAAAGCGCTCCGCAGGGTGCGCGTGAGCCCGAGCCAGCGGCTCGAGGGCCCGGTTACAAAGTTTTCTGGGTGCCGGGTACTCCTTCTGAGGTCCCTATCAGTTACCCCTTATCTGGATGCAGGTTTGGTCTGTGGCTAATTGAGGGCTTTCGTGAACTGGCGCCCTTTGCAGACCAAGGCATGGCCCGTGTTTGGCCTGCGGCCAGCGGAGGGCACGCTCCCTTCCCATCCGGGAGAGGCACCTGGAGCCTCGGATCCTCGGTGGGGGGAAGATGGAGCTTCTGCTTTCGGTTTGGCTTTCGGACGTTAGCGTTCGTGGGCCTCAGGTTCCCGCCCCCAGCCCCAGGTGTTTTCCTTTTGATCCGCTTTGGGAAGTCAGCGCGAATCGGCCTCAAGTTTCCTGCACCCAGACCCTGTTCTCCAGCCCCAGCGAGACGCCAAGGGTTGGACGTAAAGGGGGCCTCCCAGGGGCGGTGGCAGGACTCTCGCTAAGCCCCTTCCCAGCCCCAAATCCTCTGAGTATCATCGCCCTCACCCCAAAACCCCGACACCCCGAAACACACAGTCTCGTTCTTCCATTCCGACCCCCACGACCACAGGGTCCTCACCACCAGCAGGTTCCTGTCCTCCACCAGCTGCCGCTTCCGAAGGATCTCCGATTTCAGAATGTCCATCTCGCCGACAGAATTGAAGCTCCAGTTTCCCGCTCCACCTCCTCGGACACAGCCCGACCGGGCCGGCGGCCGCGAACCTACTGGATGTGCAGCCCAACAAGCCCAAGCACCTGAGGACAACAACAGACAAGAGCCGCTTCCGGCGGAAGCTGGGATGAGCGAGAAGAGGGAAGAGAGCGCCCCGGGGCGCCTGTGGTGGCCAAAGCAGCTGTGCGTGAGTGCCACCTGGCGGCTCCCTCCGGCAGCGTGCCTGCAGTTTTCCCTCGTAGGTTTACGTGAACGTGGACGGAAACCTGGGGCTTATAATAATACCCTCTGCACCTGCTAATTCAGTTCCAAAAGCCTTCTCGAAGAACACCTCAATTATGCCAGTTAAATCTAGATTTTTATCAACTGGAAGTTCACATCAGGGTTTCTGAAGTTACTTGCTTGCAAAATTAGTGTGCCAAAGAATGAGAAAAATCTAAATAATAATAATAGCTTGTAACTGCAGAGTGAAAGGGCAGTGTTCATTACTAGTCCGTTAAATTTCTTGTGAACTTACATGACTATATCCATTTAAGGCATTTTAGAAGTCAATTTATCTCTACTCCCTCTGTTTTAGATTGCTTATCAGTCTTGGTGATAATTGAGCACTTACCTCAAGCTAACTAATCACTTTCTTGGTCATGTGTTTAGCAATCAAGATTTTTCAATGACATGACTGGAGATGTAATCAGAAATTCCTTTTTTTATATATAAGTCCAACTCAACGGGGAAAAAATGTTAAATTGGAAAGAAAAATCATGTCAGAGATTTTTTTAAGATCCTAAAACTTGTTTACATTGGACTTATTTGTTTTATATCATTGAAGCATGTTTAAAAATTGTTTTTGGGCCACGTGGTGGCTCATGCCTGTAGTCCCAGCACTTGGGAGGCCACGACGGGCAGATCGTGAGGTCAGGAGATCCAAACCATCTGAGCCAATATGCGGAAACCCCATCTCTACTAAAAATACAAAAACAAGCTGGGCGTGGTGGCCTGTGCCTGTAGTCCCAGCTACTCGGTAGGCTGAAGCAGGAGAATCGCTTGAACCCGGGAGGCGGAGGTTGCAGTGAGCCGAGCTTGTGCCACTGCACTCTAGCCTGGTGACAGAGGGAGACTGTCTCAAAAAAAAGAAAAAAGAAAGAAAGAAAGAAAGAAAGAAAGAAAGAAAGAAAGAAAGAAAGAAAGAAAGAAAGAAAATTGTTTTTGTTAAAGCATAATTGAACAATATTTGACATTTTGTTTTCTCACTCAAAAAAGGTAAGAAATATTCTGTTCAGTCCGTTGATAATGGGTAAGTTGCCTTATCGAAACAAAAAATGAACAACTGGATTGTTCATTTCAATTGAGAAAGTTTTTGGTGGGGGGGTGGCAATATTTTATCTACAAGATATCTGAGGCCTCCCCCTGTAATCCCAGCACTTGGGGAGGCTGAAGTAGGCAGATCACCTGAGGTCAGGAGTTCAAGACTAGCCTGGCCAACATGGTGAAACCCTATGTCTACTAAAAATACCAAAAATTAGCCAGGTGTGGGGACAGGTGCCTGTAGTCCCAGCTACTGAGGAGGCTGAGGCAAGAGAATTGCTTGAACCTGGGAGGCGGAGGTTGCAGTGTGTCGGGATTGTGTCACTGCACTCCAGCCTGGGTGACAGAGCAAGATGCTGTCTCAAAAATAAATGAAAATATACCTGACTTTTGCCAGAAATAAAGCAACACAGGAAAAGTTCCTTGAAGTAAATATGGCAACACTCCTACATGAATGTGGGTTTCCCAGGCCACTAATTCAATGAGCAAATAATAATTTATCAACATTTTCCTGATTTAGGCATTAGGGATCGTTAGCCATGAAAAAACCTGAAGGGTTAAGAGAGATGACAGTGACAGCAATGGAAGTTTACAGAGAACACAACACCTGGCCAGCTGGGAAACTATGTGTAAACCAGAGAAGGTACCAGCTACAGTTAACACCCTCCTGTTACATTTTAGACTTTTGTTGATTTCTGTGTTTATGTAAACGTGCACTAAATCCTGATTAAGGCCTGAGATCAAAGAATGACAGAGAGAAATACTTGAACAAGCAACTGACAAGCAAGCTTTTCAATTCAAAAGGGAGGAAAAAAGATATCCAGATGTAGCCGGGCACTGTGGCTCAAGCCTGTAATCCCAGCACTTTGGGAGTCCGAGGCGGTTGGATCACGAGGTCAAGAGATCGAGACCATCCTGGTCAACATGGTGAAACCCCGTCTCTACTAAAAATACAAAAAATTAGCTGGGCATGGTGGCTCGTGCCTGTAATCCCAGCTACTCAGGAGGCTGAGGCAGGAGAATTGCCTGAACCCAGGAGGCGGAGGTTGCGGTGAGCCGAGATCGTGCCATTGCACTCCAGCCTGGGTAACAAGAGCGAAACTCCGTCTCAAAAAAAAAAAAAAAAAAAAGATATCCAGATGCATTTAGAAACAATTAAAAGAAAAAAATCACCCTGACCCTAAAAGAGACCATATTCATTTTTAAAAACGTGCATTCTATTTCATCATAATCATTATTTAAAAAGTGAAATGCTGGCTCACACTTATATTCCCAGCACTCTGGGAGGCCGAGGCAGGAAGGTCACTTAAACCCAAGAGTTCGAGCCTGCAGTGAGCAATGATCGCACCACTGCCCTCCATCCTGGGCAACAGAGTGACATACTGTCTCTAAAACAAAAATAAATAAAATAAAAAATAAAAGTGAAAAACTGGAAACAACCCAAATGTCCTAAGTGGAGGAATAGTTAAATGAAATACAGTCTATACAGACCAGAGATCTAGCGACTTGAAGCAGCATGGCCAAGCCTTGTGGGGCGCACCTGAGTGGGAAGGCCCGCAAACAGGTGGAGGTCTTCGGGCAGAATCTTTTCCAGGAGGCTGAGGAATTCCTCTACGGATTCTTGCCACAGAAAATCATATACCTGAATCAGCTCTTGCGAGAGGACTCCCTCAATGTGGCTGACATGACTTCCCTCCAGCCCCACTGGACATCCCCATGCCAGATCCTCCACCCAAGGATGATGACATGGAAACAGATACGCAGGAGAAGAAAGAAGTCCCTACGTGTGGATTCCTCCCTGCGAATGAGAAGGTCCTGTCCCTGCTTACCCTGGTTAAGCCAGAAGTCTGGACTCTCAAAGAGAAATGCATTCTGGTGATCACATGGATCCAGCACCTGATCCCCAGGATTGAAGATGGAAATGATTTGGGGGTAGCAATCCAGGAGAAAGTGCTGGAGAGGATGAATGCCATCAAGACCAAAGTGGAAGCTTTCCAGACAACCATTTCCAAGTGCTTCTCGGAACGTGGGGATGCTGTGGCCAAGGCCTCCCAGGAGACTCCTGTGATGGATTACCGGGCCTTGGGCACCAGCGAGATGAGGCAGCCTGTGGGGAGCTCAGGGCCGTGGCGCTAGACCTGAGAGCCTTCTGTGCTGAGCTTTATCGTATTATGAGCAGTAACCTGGAGAAAACTGTCAACCCAAAGGGTGAAGAGAAGCCATCTATGTACTGAACCCAGGACTAGAAGGAAAATAAATGACCTAAATAAAAGAAAAAAGAAATACAGTTTACATACATACATACAACCAAGTAACATGGCATCATTAAAACCATGTTTTTAAAAATTCAGTGGTATGGGAATGCTCATGATACAATGTTCAGTCCAAAAGTAGAATAATGAAACTTTATAGCACATGGGCTCTGCTTTTTACCAAAAACATAGATGTATGCTTTTTAGCAAAAACATACAGACACAATAAAACATTGATTGGAAGGAAATGTACCAAAATATTTTTATCTGGACCACAGAACAGCTGGAGACCCTTACGTCTTGCTTTATACCACAATTTGGTACAAATTTCATAATATGGAGGGGAAGGTACCGATATCAGTCCTTTTCTATTTAATTATTATTCAGACTATTTATAAATTTTCTAGCATGTCTACTTTAGACGTTGTATATGACAAATTTTGAAGAATACCTATAAAATAAAGGATTAGACAAAGAATTTTTTAAATCTCTGTAGTTATTCAATCCAATATTTAACAATCTTATATGTGAGCTCTGAACTGCATTAGCTTCTGTGACGTAAACCAAAGCATAAACCCTGCCCACAAAGAGATAGCCAGCTAGTGGGGGAATCAAGAAATATACAGTATCTTGAAAAGTTAAAGTGTTAAACACTGTAAGTTATATATGATTTATCAGTGTAATTATGGCTATAATTGCAGAAATTAAAAATCAGTCATCCTCTGAAGAGTAAACATTGGTACTGGATTGATGAGATATTCCTCTGTGGAGGTGACCCGTTGTAGAAAATTATTTGTCATTTTGTCATTTCTGGAGACTTAAGGGAAGTGCCAGATTGAATCAGCATGACCTGGATTTGTTTCGTTGCTGCCCTAAAAGATGGAATGTAACTTAAACAGCAAAGAAAAGCTCTGTGACTCAACACGGTGGCTCTCAGTTCTTCACATGCTTCAGGATGACCTGGAGGAGTTTTTGAAAAGACCAACCTCAGAAATGGTCCTTTCATAGGCTTGGGGTGGGACCCAAGAATTTGCATTTTGAACAGACTCCCAAGGGAAGTGGATGCTGTTGATCCAGGGACCACATTTTGAGAACTGGCAACCTAATATATTATTTTGTCGGCCAGGCGTGGTGGCTCATGCCAGTAACCCCAGCACTTTGGGAGGCTAGGTGGGCGAATCACGAGGTCAGGAGTTCGAGAACAGCCTGGCTAACATGGTGAAACCCTGTCTCTACTAAAAATACAAAAATTAGCTGGGTGTGGTGGTGTGCACCTGTAGTCCCAGCTACTCAGGAGGCCGAGGCAAGAGAATCGCTTGAATCCAGAAGGCGGGTATTGCAGTAAGCCGAGATCACACCACTGCACTTCAGCCTGGGTGACAGAGCGAGACTCCATCTCAAAAAAAAAAAAATGTATATATATATAATTTTGTCATCTCCTGGGGGCGAAAGTGCGTTTGCATCTGAAATGCCGTCTGCACGAGTCCTGCGAATGGAGGCAGAGGGGAAGTGTTACCTGCAGCACTGTCACAGCTGTCGCAGGTCCCTGGAAGGCAACTTATCCACGCCCAGTAATGCTGCTTCTGGGAATTTCCAAACGGGAAGGAGGCAGGCTCCCTCCAGATCCAGCCACATTTAAAAAACCGCTTTGCAGGGTTAGACCACAGCAAATGCCTGATCCAATCTGGGACAATCAGAGTCTCTTCCCTAAAAAACTAAAATTGGAAGGAATGGAGTGAATCTTTCCAAGGCGCAGGACAGATAAAACGTGAATTCCAGAGTGACACACACTTCCGCCAGGCTAGTGCTTACTGTTCCGCAAGAGCCAGCTGTTACGTTTTTGAGAATTTTGTGTCATTGTTAAACATGGCCATTATCAAAAATCAAATGAGTTTATTTATAATCAAATCAATGATATTATACACGAAGATAATAAATACACGGAACCTAATTCTTCTTTTAATGCATTGTTACCATTATGCTCTCCGAGTTATTTAGGACTGTTGTACATTATCTTTGTGGTGGAAATGCTATGAAATGGTGGTACCTGCACTCCCCTTATCAGTTCCAGGCTTGAGGACCCCGCATTGGTAACTGGAAATCAGCATTAGTG